AAGGATGACTGAGGAGCATTTGTTGGAATGAGGCGGTCAATAGTGGCCCGCTTTCTTAAAGACTTTCAGAGGAGTTAAAGTGAACCACATGCGCACATAATTGCTGCACCATGGGTATGCAGTGATGAGTGAATAAGAATTAGCGAGTCATTCGACCCTGTTCGCCGGGGCCAGAAAAGCACTGGATCACCGAGCGGTGGTGGCGACGCGCGTGCTAATTTGGCGCTCCAAGTTCGGGGAACGCCGACCCTCCGACGGAGCATTTAGACGAAGCGGGCCTCTATAGAAAAACTAGTATCTCAGTAAACGGAAAAAGAGGAGGACTTCTGTTAAATCCCTCAATTAAGCCAAATGCCTGCTGATCCTGTTTGGTCACATGTGGAGATACGGAGCGGTGAGTGAATCAGGGCCGAAATTGCGCCGTCAAATCTTGAGGAACGAGCGTGCACCTACCTGTTTCAAACGATACCAGCGACTCTAGTAAGAGAAGTGATAGGAAACCCTCTCATCGCGCAGGTTACTTCTTGTCGCTTCCCGCGGCCTCAGGGAGCTTTCACGAGCGGTATGAGAGAGCGGAACGGGATGAAAAGGCGTGGGAAAAGGCGAGCACGTGACGTGCAAACCAGGGGACCCCGCCACGGTCAAATACCCGGTCGAGATCGGGCTCGTATATTGTTGCTGGCAACAACGCTCAAACCCACGTTCGCTAGCCGAATGCATGGATCGCGAAGTCTGACACGCCTTATTACAGTGACAAGGAGCAAGAGCCGTAGACCATGTTCTGTGTTGGTCGATCCGTCCGCCCACCGTTGCATCATCTTTTCTATCTCCCCTCGCTATACACTCTCATATCCGTCTGCAATTTTCGCGCGTCAGCGCCCATTATCTCTCACCTCGCACTGCCTCCTACACTGCTCTCCATAGTAGCACTAGGATGTCAGCTATCTGAAAATTCCTTATTTTTCGGATCCACCTCGTTACTTCCTGTTTCAGGTTCGAGTGAAATCGCCACATCGAACTTGTTCACACCTTAGCACATCTGACGATGACGGACTATTGCATGGAAGGCAAAGTGCGATGAAACCGGGGCTATTCGAAGTAACCTTAACGGTGATCGGTGCACCAGGGATGAAGAAGAAGCCATGTGGAACAGCCCGGAACCCGAGAAATGGAATTTCTTCCTTGGCCGTTGATTGGTCGTGATTGCGAGCTGATTCTCGTGCCCTTCTTCAATCTAAGCGCTCTCGCTTGCTGAGTCGCGGTGGGCATTCCGGGGTCAGGTCTCTAGTCGTGTTAATTTGTTTCAAAATAATTTGTACGAGCTCCTCGTGGACTTGAGACAACCCCTTTTCGACACTCTCCACCATCATCCTATCATATATTTAATCTGGCTCACCCTCAGCCCACGGAAACTCCACCACTTATTCCTCCAAGAATTGCCGCTCGACGGGGGATGGGGTATATACCCAGCTCACCCACTAGGCAACAGGGGAAACAGTAAAAATTTACCAAAATTCCCTAAATTCATAGGACCCCCCCCTTCTCATAGACTCAACCATTACGACCCCCGTGCTACCCAGCTGAACAGGTATGGCGTTGACCCTGATTCCGCGGGCTAATGCGGCCAAAGGGAGCCCCAGAGGGATATACTTCGATGAAAATCCGTGTTGATCTGGACCTTTATGGGGGTCCGCCTGTCTCTCCACTACGTGAGTTTCCCATCCATTGTTTCTCTCATCCCTTCGTTCTTATCGTGGAATCCTCCTTTCTTGTTTTCTTACTTTATCAATATTTTTCACTTTCCAAAAGTGCCGGAGCTGTTATCAGATCAGAAGCCAAATGATACCATACAGTTCATTGGACATGTGAAAATGGTCAGTCGTCACCACTATTGTTGGGAAATATTCTCGGATGTGATGCCCAGATACTGCTCACAAGATATTCACTTCCAGCAAGGAGGGTGTGGTTGGCCTAAGGGGAAGAAAAAGGAAGATTATTTTGCTATGTCACCCTCAGGCGACTGAAACCACGGGGTGAAAAACAAAAAAAAAGGGAAAAAAAATTATAAGATGTGTTCAGAATGATACCTCCCGAGGTGTTTCCAGTGCTTGGCTAGCACCTGTACATACCAGGTGATAGGACCAAGCACTGGGAAACACCTCGGGGAGCGTACAGAACCTTTCAATTTCCCAGTGTTCATTCTCCCATCATTAGTTTAGCGGCTTCCCAAAAGATCATAGGATGTGATAACTTTCGAGGACACACTGTGTGCAGTCAGCATTCGCATTACGCTCTTCGCCACTTTCCATTAGCAAATGAATCTCTCTATGAAGGTATTTTCTTGGTCAGAGCACATCTCTCAGCACCCCGATTTCGACATAAGCGTTCAAAAAGTTCTGTCGTTTTTTTTTGACTACTCTTTTGTATGCACTATTTTCCTTTAAACCCAGAAAAACTGCAATAGGTATGAATGCCGTTTTGAAGAGCTTTTCCTGCTCTATCTCATGCTTAGCTTATCTTTATCCAGAAATCAATGAGCAAGTTGGCATGACTTTCTTTTTCTAGCTTTGAATAGACTTGAAACTAGCGGGAACAGTTCAAGATATTAACGATGCACTTGGCCTAGATTCGCAATATATGCTCATATGCAGTAGTTCAAAAAGTTATTGTAACGGAAAGCGAGAGCCTTGGATGATTAGTGGTAGTCAGATATCGGACGTTGCCACCGATTAGCCAAAAGTTCTGATTGAAGCACTCGTGCGTAAGACCATAGAGGAGGTTCTGCCCAACCTGGGCGTATATGGTTTGTACAGCCAAGCTATACGGAAGAAGCTGGAAAGTCCAAAAAATTTGATAGTGGCGTGCCGCGACAAATCACCAATTTGAAGGGTCGTCCATCAAATTGTAGCTTGTTTTATGTGATAATAGCGACTCGTTTCTCTACAGATTTGCGACGTACAATAAAGAGCGGATTCTTCTCTATAGTCCACGAAGCTTTGCTGAATAGCTCGACGGCGATAGAGCTCTACAAACTGTGCAAAACTTAAACTGTGCTGAAGGAGGGTTATGGCAACTTTCATAAGGTCGACGGCTGGCCTGGTTCTTCCGCATAACCAGGAACTGTTACAGTGGAAAAGCAGTCTTAACATTACGCCAAAATTCACCAAAAACTCCAAGACATGTGTCCAGCATTCCTCATTATAAAGGGGTGGACACATCTCTGAAAGGTGTCCTGGACGTACATCGCACCGCCAACCCTTCACAAGTTGGACCAGCTGGACTTCAGAGTGATTCTGCGAACATCTTACTTAGTAGACCTTTGGTCTATCTACTGTCACATTTCTGACGATCTCGATAGCTTCCTTGAAGAGAAATGCATCAAAACCCAACATGATGCCAAATCGACCTTCCCTCAGTTCATCGCCTCAACAGCTCCAGCATTCTGAACAAGCGTTCCCAGTAGAATGGTTCTTATAGAGAAAGGTTCGCGCATTCGAATGGTTTTTTAATCAGCTTGAAAAGGTTTACTTTATGCCGAGATACATGCATTTAAAATTCGGGGTCGGAAAACGACAGAACTTTCTGAAACGCCTAATACATCCTGAATCTTTCCGATCGCGCTGTTTTAAAGGACGAATTCACGATGAAAAAGCAACCCATTTCAAATTAACCTAGGGATGGTGAGTGGTGACACACGAAAGAAGGAAGAACCATGAGAAACGGCCCAGAACCCGAGAAATGGGACCCCTTCCTTGCCCGTTGATTTGAGCATTGATGCGACTCTCATCGCTGTGCCCTCTTCAACACTACGCTCTCTCAGCTATCTAATCACTCGCCACGTATTGAACTACGGCGAGTGATCAGATGATCGGTGGGCGGAGATCGCCGGACCCGCCAGCTTTGAGGCATGATAGGTCGCCGAGGTCAAATTTTTCCATGCGAATTGCGCGTCAGTTCGCACCCTCAGGAGGTCCGTGGGTCCCTCAACTAGGTCAGTTTCCCTTTCTTCGACCTTCATTCTAATCGTGAATTCCTCCTTTAAGTAAAACAGCAGACGGCTCCCACAATTTGGCGATTTTCCTTACAACTAAATAGTCTGGGAGCAGAAGACCTTCCCATCTCACTTCTATTAGTGTTGTTTTCCACCTCATATCATCTGTGGGGCCACCCCGACTGTTGACTGACTTCGTATCAAAATAATCAGGTGAGCAACACGTTTGTAGACTGTCGTTTTCGAAAAGATTTTTTTGCACCTGTTCACAATATTTGTAATCAGTTTGGCTGCGCACATAGGCTCGCGTGCATCTGCTGGCACTGCTATAAAACAGGGTCATTTCTGCTGGCAAACTCCACCCACCTCAGTGCATGACCCACCCCCGGCAGCATTTGACCTCCCTTTCCTCGCCAACCTCTACCTACTCTTTTCTAGGTCTCTGGGCCCTCTTGGACTTCACTTTAGTGCTTCCACTTTCGTGCACTCCACACCCACCGGGAACGTTCGACCTTCACATCATCTCTAACCTCTATTCACTTTTTCCTGGCTCTTCTGAACAACTGAGCCAATCCCCCCCCTAGTACACCACCTCCGTCGAATGCGTGCCGGTTTCTGGTAAGAGTGGTCAGCACCAAGAACTTCACGTCTTTTTAGTCTTTGTTACTGTAGGAATGATTCCCTTATCGGATGACGTCTGTCTCGTACTACTGTGATTGCGGACCAAGTCTAGGGATTGGGGCGACTTTTTTGAAAAATTCGCCAGAGTAAAAGTAATTGCTATTTTTAGAGTGAAAGAAGCTTAATTTCTATTTCTTTAATTTACTACGGTAGTAGCGCAACCAAAGTGTTGTTTGTGAGCATCCGTAACCATTACGTCTCTTTTTTCGTGGGTTTGTAGACATTATTCGTTGATTAGTGGCTCTAGTTTTCGTTATTGTAGGCCCTCTTGTCGAATATTTGTAGAATTACCGTCCATATCTTGTAGTGTTCAAATTCCGTATTGTAGGAATGTCAAAAATCGAAGAAATTTCCGTGATTCATGTGAATTCGGCAGTGGAAGGTACGGTGGGCAGCCGAGTATGGACGATTAAATGGAATCACAATGGTTCACTGCTTGCCAGTTGTGGAGACGACAAAACTGTTCGAATATGGAAGAAAATAAATAGTGGGTTTTCACATTTTCTGGATTTTCCTCATCGCGCAGATCATCATTTTATAAATGATTGGCTAGAAGTTTTATGAGTTCTGCGCTGTACCAAGTTGAGCTATTCTGTTGTTGTTTTCCTATCTCTTGATCCTTGAAGATTCGCCATACTTGGAGTGCGCCACGTCCATCGATGACAGCCATTCGAGAGCCGTTCGCTGTGTGGAGTTCTCCCATTGCGGTCGGTATTTGGCATCAGCAGGCTTCGATTCTTGCGTGGTCATCTATAGCCGGGAGGAGTTCGTTTAATTCCTGCTTTCTTATAATTTACCTATTATTTATACCAGGTACTGTGTGAAGGTTCGCCCTGTAACTTTATAAACTTTTGTAGCCAATTTGGCCTTGCAACAATCACTAATCTATAGATGAGGGTTCTTACTTTAGGGGCGAGTTCATGGAGTCGAATAAGCTGGAAGGTCACGAAAGCGAGGTAATTTTTGTTCTCGATGATCTCCTAAGATATAGTATGATTTAAAGGCAGGGGTGTGGTTCACTAGGACAGAAAGCGACTTTTTCGCGTTTCGCAGCGCGAAACATTTTTCGCTGCGGGAACCTCAGGTCCACCGCTGATCATCAGTGGACCCGAGGTTCCCGCAGCGAAAAATCAGTGGACCCGAGGTTCCCGCAGCGAAAATGTTTCGCGCTGCGAAACGCGAAAAGTCGCTTTCTGTCCTAGTGAACCACACCCCAAAGGCAGCACTGTCATGCGCACTTTTCTAGAGAGGTGGTTTTCTTTCATTTTCTAGAGCCATTTTTGATATAACCTCTTTATAGGTGAAATGCTGCGCGTTTTCACCTACGGACGAATTCCTAGCTACCTGTAGCCGTGACAAAAGTGTATGGTTCTGGCAAAGTTAGTGTTCAATCAGTGATTTTCTGTATAGAAAAAAATAAAAATCGAATAATGTTGTTTTAGTGGATGAGGACGAAGACTTTCAAGTGTCGTCAGTGTTGCAACCTCATACTCAGGATGTAAAGTTCGTCACCTGGCATCCATCAGAAGAGGTATCCAAGGCTTAGCTTTTTCCCTTTCTTGCATCGTCTTCAAAGCTGTATTTCACTTGTGCTGAAGACATTTCCGGTTCGATATCGTGCCTTACCTAAAAGTGGAAACTTACCTGAACCTTATTTGTTTCCATGCAGTCGCTTTTTGGATATCTTTCGGTCAGCATAGGTGTCAAACATGCAGCCGAATGCGGAGGGTTTGAGCAGACCTTCACGAAATTGCTTGCTTATAGCGTGGTTTAGTCAACCCATTGCGCGGTTGCAACACATGGCAATCATTAAAACGGCACACGTTGCTCAGTTGTACGATGTGGGTATAGGCTAGTCGCTACGCAAACGCGCGCTCAGGATTTAACAATTACGTCCTTATCTTTTCGGCTAGATGATACTGAGCTGTTGGACAAAATTCTGGAGAGCTGTACATAGGTTTGCTCCTCCTCGCTCAGGTGTGATTCACCCGGGGGAAACGGGTTCATCATGCAGTTTATGTGGTTTCGCTTTAATACAATTCATTTGATTATTCCTTCTGCAGAGGATTAATTGCCTTGGGAATGCCCTCAGCCAAATACGCTGGACATTTAAAGATCTTTTTTTATTGAGCTAACCATGTATTTTTTGAATATATGCTCCTTTAGTTGTTGGTCTCCTGTAGTTACGACTACTCGATAGTGTTTTACAAGTTCGACGGAGAGGACTGGATAACTCAACAGAAAATTCCTGAGGTAAGCCACTTTCCAGCATTAGTATTTCAGACATGGCGCGCACCAGCAGATGACCGATTTATGGTCTTCTAGACAGTGGTGATACATGATGCACAAACTTATATAATTTACTTGTTTTGTTTGTTAACTGCTGTTTTAACGCCGCAGTTCGCGTTGCGAATGTTTCACAAGAATGCTGGGTTGTGAACAAAACTTTCGCCCCAGGCGGGACTAGAACCCGCACCTCTCGCTTTCCGGGCAAGTGCGCTACCAGTTACGCTACCGGGGCACCATTTCATTTCCAACTCGCACTTGCCCGGAAAGCGAGAGGTGCGGGTTCTAGTCCCGCCTGGGGCGAAAGTTTTGTTCACAACCCAGCATTCTTGTGAAACATTCGCAACGCGAACTGCGGCGTTAAAACAGCAGTTAACAAACAAAACAAGTCAAAATTCATTGCTAAAGCTTTCAGCCTCGCGGTCATTGCCGATATCGGCTAACCGGCTCAACACGTTAGACGTGTGAGTGCTGAAAGCTATGGTACGTATACCATGAAAAGCTGAGTTGGAATGAAATGGTGCCCCGGTAGCGTAACTGGTAGCGCACTTGCCCGGAAAGCGAGAGGTGCGGGTTCTAGTCCCGCCTGGGGCGAAAGTTTTGTTCACAACCCAGCATTCTTGTGAAACATTAATACTACTGAATACTGTGTAAGAAATTCTATTATCATTGAAATGTTGTTATTTGAAGGCCCACAAAGGGACGGTGTGGTGCGCTGCGTTTGACTCCGAAGGGCATCGTTTGGTAACAGTTGGAGAAGATCACATTGTACAGGTTCGTCTGCTACTATTTATCCAATGAGTGTCTATATTTATCTTAGTTATTAGTGAGTGCCTAATGTCAATGGTCGGCTGCATCTACGCCTATGTAAGTGTCGTTATTTAGTTATGGCGACGAAGTTCTCCACAGCAGTCCGCAGTGAGCGACAAATGGCAATCTGTGGCCAAGTTTCTAGTGGAGGATACACGATTACCTCTATATTCAGTTTCTTGGCATGCAGTGACTGGTCTTATCGCTACCGGTGGAGGCGATGGAATGATCCGGTGAGTAATTTTTTTACGTTCTGAAACATGACTTGATCTATTCGACTTGTTACATGTTCATGATGAGTTATTAAGTTGAGAAAAAAGCGGCTAATAGCGTTCTGTTCCTATAATTTGTATCACTTTCCTCATAAAAATGTGCAGCAACTTGACAAAACTTGTAGCAAATTCATGACCGCTTTTCTGGTCTTATCATTCGTTTGAACATTCTTTGAGTGTGCAGCACACTTTGCGATCGTATTGCAATTCCAACGTACGGTGGGTTCCGTGACTTTTCTCACAGGGTTGTGGTTCACTAGGACAGAAAGCGGCTTTTTCGCGTTCCGCAGCGCTGCGGAAACCTCAGGTCCACCGCTGATCATCAGTGGACCCGAGGTTCCCGCAGCGAATCATCAGTGGACCCGAGATTCCCGCAACGAACAATGTTTTGCGCTTTCTTGTCGCTTTCTGTGCTAGTGAACCACACCCTTCCTCTCACTTCAGAGCGAGGGATTACGATCAAGATTGGGTTGGGTTCATAGTGGAAGTGGGGATGCTGAATAATGCCCCAGTGGCGAAAAAAGCAAAGAAATCCGTCAAGAAGGCGCAAAATGGGACCCCTTTCTTTGCCCGTTGACCTCCGATAATGGACGAGCTAGCAACCAATTAGAGGTCGTTTGCACATGTTATGCTGATAGCCTCCATCATTCAACATAGCATCAACAAAGACTTGATTGATCGTGCCTTGGTTGATAACGCATTACATGGTAAAGTTGGTGTATGCGCGCGAAATGCAATACCTTTTCCAAAAGGTCAGAATAGTGATGCTGCCAGTAGCGCACTAAAGGCCGGAGCACAGGCGGCAGAGCCGGAACTCAGAACTAGGATTTGCAGTTCCAGGGCGCTG